CGCCATCCAATCGGCTCCGGCTCCTGCCTCCTCCTCCTCCTCCTCCTGGCACTTCCTGCAACACAGCTGGGAGGAGGAGGAGGAGGGCGCAGGAGCCGGAGCCGATTCGATGGCGCGCGGAGGCCGGTTGTAAGGGTGAGCGGAGCGCTTCCTGCAACACAGCTGGGAGGAGGAGGAGGAGGGCGCAGGAGCCGGAGCCGATTGGATGGCGCGCGGAGGCCGGTTGGATGGCGCGCGGAGGCGCGGAGGCCCCGCCCGCCCCATTTACAAAACGGGCGAAAGCTCGTAAATACTGTGGGAGTTGCTGTTTCGATATTTAAAAACCCTTCCGGGTTTAAAAATGTGTTTTGAAATCGCGTCGGATATGGTAAAAATAACGAATTAATAACGAAATAACGAAATAACGAACGAAACCGCAGACCTAATAGCTACATGGGCCTCCAGACTAAGTTATTCTTTGTTTAAGCCATTTTTTCATTCTCCTCTCCATGACAAATCAGAAAAAATGGAGGCCAAAAATAATCAGTGTAATCATCTTGAGGGCTGGCAGGCTTAAATTTGTTATTTTTGACATTAGATATAAAAAAACACCCCGCCCTTGTGTCTCACATCTAACACAGCTCAATTAAAAAAGTTGTCTCTTAGTTCATTTTAGATCTCTGTCCCTTTGGCTCTTTAGTGGTATAAATGATGAGGAACACTGAGTGAACATGGAACAATTCAGTTTTGAAATCAGTTCTAGATCACTGTTCTTTGTTACTGTCTTAAGGCCAAATGCAAAGGCCTCAATTTAATCCTTCAAAAGTTATGGTATTAACTCTGATGTTACAGCAGCAGTGAGCCATCACAGCAGTGAGTTGGTATAAACACTTATGCATTCATCAACCTGTAGCAAACAAAATGTTTGTCCTATGCCCAGCCTCCTAAATATATTTCAAGGGAAAATTCAGCCCTTCAGAATTTTAAGCAGATTGGGGAAATCTTAAGAGGGCTGCTGTATGTCAAGGACTGTGTAAAAGTTTAACCTTGAAGGAACAGCAGGGGGAGACATTATAAGCATTTTTATCATATTCCTGATGTGCCTGCTCCTGAACAGAAGGAATACATAATAGTTGCAGTTTTAAATAAATTCGGCACTTTTGTCAATATTTTGAAAATACCAGCACAATAGAAAATCCTGGTAGAATGAGTTTCGGAACTGTCAGAAGAATAAGTGCAACATAAAATGGTCCAACCTCTTGAACTGTTCACTGAATTGTTTTTGGTGTTTGGCTTTGAAGTCAGATCAGAAATAAAACCGATTTAGCATTATCCCTGAGGTCTAGGTGCTTGGAATAGGGAGTTGCTAGCTTTCAGTAGTGGGGATTCCAACAAAACATTGCAATGACAAATACTTCTGCCAACCACTCAAATCATAATCATTTGCAATGCATGTCACTCCATGCTCGCTCTCCAATGCTGAGCTGTGTTGGATTCAAGGCTCAATGGAAGAGATCAAGTATTCAGTTCAAGCAACATGGCCCACAACAAAACAGGAGAGGAGTCAACCATTCCAACAAGTATGGGAGAACTATTACTTATATTACTGGTGGTGGGGAGACTTCATTTTAGTCATCTGTGGAGAATGACAATTTCATACAAGTGGATCCTAGAGGCAGTGACCACAGGTTATAGTAGCAAGCAATTTTAGAGAAAAAGGCAGGTTATTTCCATCAACAGTATCAAAAAAGGATAACTCAACAGGGATAAGTAATCTGTTAAAATATCTAAAAGGAAGTGCCCCTAAGCAACTCAAAGGGTTTATTCCCTATTCTTCATGGTACTCAAACATAATAGGAGTAACAGAGGTCTGAGAACTGAAATACCCCAATGGATTTGTGAATTATGGGAGCTTCAAAATGCAGACATTGCAAACTCACTTGGATAACCTAGTTAGATGACTTTTTCATACCAAAAGTTTTTCAAGGAGCATAATTCCATCATGCAGATAATTTCTTCATTTTGAATACAATCGTAATTCCCGCATATACTCATAGGCATAGGCTGACCTCTTGTATAAGCTGAAGTAAGGTGTGAGAGGCATAATTATGGATTTTGATGCATGGATGTCAAGGGTCTTCCTGTTGAGAGGGAAGCAGCAATGCAGATTCTTGAGGCCAGCTGCTCAGCCACCAATGCCATTTCTCTGCCCAGGCATTCAAAAAGATCAGAGGTAGTGCCATGGTGGAGAGAGTGGTGGGTGCTTCTTTTAGGTTCTCCTGTGATGGAGAAAGCTAGCTGTTGCCTTTCATCACTAGTCTGGTTCCTTTTTTGTAAGAATTAGGTTACATTACTCACACAGACCCATGAATAAGCTCAGATTGTTGGGGATTGATTTTTGACTAAATTTTCTAACGTCTACATGAGTGTAAAGGGTACCAATTCAGTGTTTTTCCTTTTGGCATGGAGTCAGCTTCAAGGATTTTTAACAAAGTGTTATTCCCATTAATAACATATTTGATGCAAGTTTATTCCTTCACCCAGATGACATTTTGGTAAAATAATTGAACAAAGGTAGAATAAGATCTTGAGACAACAGAGTGTCTAGAGGCATAGAGCCATAGTGGAAACTACAAGAAAAATGATTTACTAGGGACAAGTCTTAACTCATTTGGGAGCTCAAATTGATAGAAAGGGGGGAAAAACGGCTTCCAAATTGATTCAGAGGAAGAAAGCAGATATAATGGACATGGCCAAAATGTTGAGTTTCATGTTTTATCTATGTATTTTAACAATGCAAATTGTAAAGCAAGGTGCTGGCTGCTGAAATTGATGAGCAACTGCATTGCATCCTGTCAATCCCTAAAATCTGGAGAAAAGCAAGAGTCATAGCCATTTTGAAACCAGGCAAAGACCCTTATGAAGCGATAGACCAATCTCCTTGTTGTGCCGTCTTTATAAAGTTCTAAAGAGACTTATTCTGCATAGAATTATGGAAAAAATAGACCCATGTATGATTTCCACAGCAAGCTGTTTTCAAGAAAGGGAAAAACTGCACATCACAAGTATTGAACTTGACACAGCACATAGAAGATGGTTTTGAAAGGCAGCAGATTACAGGAGCTGTCTTTGTTTACCTGTCAGCAGGTTATGATACTGTAAATCATTACCTTCTCCTGAGAAAAATTGAGAAGTCATTGACATCTCCGGACCATCCTCTGTACGGATTATCAGCCAGCATGCCAATGCCTCAAATCAGGAAATAGCTTTCTAAGACCTACAGAGATACTCGCAGGAACACACTGTTTTACTCTGTTTTGCTTCAGTAATGATTTTAAATCACTGCAAGTCAACAATTTGGGGAGAGATAAATTTAATAAATAAAATAAATGTGGACAATGTTTCAGTGAGGGTATATTATGCAATCAAGGCAGATTTTTTTCTTGGAAATTGATGAGAAATAAACATAATATATTAGAATGGATATTATCTGAAATGACCTGAAATCATTGTCAGTGGTCTACCTGAGAGGTGCGTTGAATTTAACATAATTTCTGAGCAGACACAAAATATTGCCTGGTGAATTGAGTGTGAACAGCACTATTTGACTGCAGGAAAAATTCAAAGGATGTGTGGTGGATCTATTCAGCTCTGACACAAAAAGGTTAATTTCTATAGATGGAAGTCCAGACTAGAAAGTCCAGATGCTTTGCCAGTTAAGTGCCCAAAAAGTCTGCTATAAGCATTTACCCCATTGCCAATCATTATCATGGTTTCTCTAAGCTCCCTCCTCCCATTTCAGTAATCCATCTTTAGGTTTTTGGTAAGGTTTGACACTTGGAAATTTTCTATTCTTAAATGGAATGTGTGAGAGCTAGTGGTTTCAATGCTGAACTAGGATTCTGGACAACAGGGTTTGAGTTGGTCATGGAAACCCACAGGGCGACCTTGGAGATTACAGCAGCAGAGGAGGCAGATGCAATAAGAGTCTTGGCTCCCTTTCCTAACACAATGATCGCCAGCAGTGCAGACCTTTGGAGGGCACAGCTCCTTGCCAAGTTCAACTGCAGTGCTAAGGTAATCCTGGAACAATAGGTTCAGTGCTGCTAAACTTCATATGAATGATGTAGCTGCCTTGGGATAAAGTTTCTTGGAATATGGGAGAAGCTGTGTGACTAGAGAAGGGACCAGAGGTAGAAAGGACTAGCTACTAGCGATAGGTATGTCCGTATGCACCACTCAGATGTAACCACAAGAGGGCAGTATTCGGATTAGAATTCGTTTTCTATCTAAAATAGTGTTTGCACCATGTGACCTACAAAACAGCCCTGAAGTCCATAGTTGGGGCATCCACCTCATAAGGAAGTAATTTAATGAGGATGTATATTTTAGAAGGCCTATGCCTTGCTCTGAAACTAAGAGACTGTGGCTTCCAAGAATAGTCCGAATTAAGAAGGAAGAAAGGGAAAGAAGGAAACTGGAAGGAGGGAAAGGGATTAAAAGGGGAGGGAGGGGGGGAGGGAGGGAAAAGAATGGAAGACCAAAGGAAGAAAGAAGTATGAGGGAACACAAGGGAAGAAGGATATAAAGGAAGAAGAGAGGGAGCACACAATGTATGAGGGAAAGTAGGGAAAGAGCTACTAAGAAAATGTAAACCCAGGCAACAATGGGTATATATGCTAGTGTTACTAATACAAGTTGAGTGATCTGGCAATCCAGCATGTTGGAAATAAAACTCACCTAACCCAAGCTGCCAGTTTACTTTCAAAATAATGAAAAGAAGCAATTTTCTTATCTTGTAGCCATCTGCCAATCACATCTTCACAGGGGAAAAGCCTACACTGCCTATCAAATTCAGATATCAAATGCAAAAAAGAGTTCCTGCTGGTCATCTGCAACATTCACTGGCTGATCAAGATTCAAACTGGGTTTTTTTAAAGTGACATTACCACAACAGTTAAATACTGGGAATCCAATCATAAAACAAAGGCACAAGGATCTTCTCTGCAGAATCCAGCAAATCCATGTTAAAAGATTTTTATTCTTGGACCATCTCGCTTGTTAAACCACAGGATGGCAGTCACCACAGAAATCTGACACACTGTCCTAGGGAAAACATGCCTCAGAGATTCTGAATAAATAAAGCTACAAAGCCCAAGTTATGTACAATTATCTTAGGCAAAGATATTATGTTTAGAAATCTATGTACAATAAAACAAATGTAAACAGTCAATGAAGCAAAGGACATAACAGAAAAAGGGTTGACAAAATCCAAGCTGTGAGTGGCAACTTGCCTTTGCCTTGGCTTTGATTCCCTTTTCTTTCCTTTGCTCTTGGGCAATGCTCACTAAGCCATAGATAGAGACCACGCCACAGCTTTCCTGAAATAAAATGTGTAAAGCCAGCTACATGGGGTGAAACTGACCAGAAAGAAATTGATGATCTGGTGGGTGTTTCTCCATTTTAAAAACAAATCAGCTTTGGTGAACAGATACCTAACCGTACAACACATACATTTCTTGTGCTCCACAGAGAAGATGCCACATCTCCATAGCCCAATTCCCACATTTTAGCAGGGATACTGTGTCAAGTAGCAAGACATTTCTCAGTCTCATCAGCTGGATGGAAGGGTCCATAAGATTCATTCTGCATCCCAAGTCTGTTAGCTTACCATAGGCATTTGGAGTTTCCCTGCACTCCCCTGAACATAAATTTACTTAGAAAAGCACAACAATATTGTGTGCCTAAGTGTAAGTTTTGGATGGGGGTGGGGAAGAGTAAAGAGGTGGGGACATTACTAAGAAGTCATTCAGCACGAAAGCAGGCCTAAGTTAGCCAGCGTACAAACTGGTGGAGTGGGAGTGGGGGACAGAGAAGGAAGGTGATTGGGCAAGTGCAATTCCACCATCCTGTGGACAGACATCAGCGGTGACTACGTCAAAGAACGTCCATGATGGAAATAGAAGAAAATAGACTGTATTGACAGGAGGAGTACTCTGTGTGTTCTGGGTTCTTCTCCAGGCAGCCTCTGGGTGCTGCAAGACCCATTCAGCTCCAGCAGGGGGCTTTAACAGAAAGGTATTGCAAGCAGCTCTTCTCCTGTTCTTTCAAGAATTAGTCCCAAGTCCCGCTCTGGCCTTGCAATACGTTCATACACTCAGAGGGAGCATGCCTGGTGCTGACGATGGCCTTGATCCTCCTAGACCTGGTGGTGGGCCTTGGTCAAAGCCGTTGACTGCCCTACAGAATGCAAAAGATTCTGTCCCTGCACAGAATAACTTTCTTTTAAACCTTTTAGAAAGCCTCTTCCCTGTCAGTTGATAGAAGAGGCACCATTTAAAAAGTCAAGTGCGCCAAATTCCTCATCAAGGGATATGTGCGATTGTGCAGGTTCTGTAATGCACAGATGATCTCTCAAAATGCAGTATTGGTAAGATTCATGCATTAGTGTTCCAATGAACAAAGCCACCTCCCAACTATTCTATAACCCTGGACAAGAATAACGATAAATGGCAGAAAGATCAAGAGGTCCACAGAGAAACACCTTACTGTTCTAGACATTTGTGGCAGAACAACAATTGAAAAAAACCCTTTGATTCAGCATTTCTAGTACAGCGGTTCCTACACGGCTCTGGCCCAGTGTATTTGTCCGAACGGATCTCCCTTTACGTCCCACCCCGGAGTTTAAGATCGGCCGGGGGGGGGGGGGGGGGCTGCTCTCGACCCCGCCAGTGTCACAAGTGAGGCTGACGGGGACGAGGAGCAGGGCCTTCTCGGTGGCGGCCCCCTGCCTGTGGAACTCGCTCCCCGGGGAAATCAGAACAGCGACCTCACTCCTCTCCTTCAGGAGAAAACTCAAAACATGGATGTGGGACCAAGCGTTTGGTCAAATGAGCAGGTAAAGAATTGACACTATCTAGGAAAGGTATAATGGAATGGGATCTGGAACCCGGAAAGACGAATGCTGAACACGTGAATTGTTCTATATGTTGTGTTATTGATTGTTAATTGCATTGTGGTTTTATCTATGATAACTGTTTTAATTGTTTTAATTATGATTGTCATTTTGTATAACTGTAATTGTATGGGCGTGGAATGGTGCCTTGTTGTAAGCCACCCTGAGTCCCCCCTTGGGGGTGAGAAGGGCGGGGTATAAGTGCCGGAAATAAATAAATAAAATAAGAACAGGAATGGGCTGTCGAGAAGGTAGGGTCTGGCACCTGGAGGGACTGGGGACTTTGTGGTGTGATGGTGTGGAAGAGATCTGGTGGCAAGGGAGAACAGAGAAGGGAACTAGTTATCAGGGAGGGGAGGATGAGGCTCATGGACATGGGTGAGTTGGAAGGAATTAGCTGATGCTTGAGCTCCCTTATTGTCCTTTTTTATATAAGGGAGATGTCTTGGAACCAATCCCCAGGGATACAGAGGGGCCTACTGAATAGAAAAGGATTTGCAGGATGATAATTGTGCTAGGAGTTGACAGCGGAGTACATGAAAGGGTGTAGAGAGCGCAAACTGTATTGCCTAACCATTGCATTGGCCATCTAAACCAAATCTCATTAACATAAACTGCCACTGTCATCAAGATTTTCTGCAGTCCTCAATGCCAGATATTTCTAGTTTGTGATTTTAATGACTGAAAAATACTTGGGGGTTGGTAAGTCACTAAACATGCAGTGCCCTGCAAGAGTATTCATCTCTACTCTGACATTTCCACATTTTCTTGTTTTACAACCTAAATTTGAAATTAATAGGCATTTGTTACCATTTGATACACAATGTATTCTTATGTGAAGGTGCAGCTTGCACTTTTTGGTTGCATAAGTACTTATCCTCCTGCATCAGTACTTGGTAGATGCACTTTTGGACCAAAAGACCCAAAGATTCCATTTTGTTTTCATCAGATCAGTGAACATTTCTCTGTGTCTCTATTTTTGCAGACTCCGAACTGACTTTGATATACATGAGTCCACCAAATCCACAGAGATTTAGTTCCACCACATATATAAATAAGTGTGGACAATCGTGTCCCATATTATTAAATGGTTATGACATGAACACGCATACTTCAGCACATCTGTATTCATGTCATTGCTATTTACTAAAATGGGGTGTAACAATTCGCTGTCACTGGAAATCATGGATCCAGATCCCACGGATCCAGAAACTCCACTGTATACTTTATTCCACACGTTTTGAAAGTGCCCTGATCTTCATGAAATTATCTGAGAAGTTCTGCTCTCCTATAAACTCACAGGGAGGTGATGGAGTCGGATTTTCAGAAACAGGTGTATTTAATCTGAAATAAAGTGTCACAGAACTATGCACAGATGGACTCTATTTTACCACTTCTATGGCTTCAAAGGTGGAGTGGTTTCAGTGCTGGACTAGGACTTTGGGAGACCAGGATTTCAATAAATGCTTATCCAAGGTACGTGGCCTCAGAGGAAGTCAATAGTGTGAGAATTTGTAAAAGACGCCATGATGTGGTGGGTTAATAGGACAGGCATGTGTCAGCAGCCGACTGGCTGAGCGTGCCAGGAGCCAGAGCTCTGATTGGCAGCTGTCTCTGGCTTGCTGCTGGAACTAATGGTTTTAACTGCCATTCTCATTTTGGACAGTAAAGAGAGTCCTGGCTGCCAACTATCTTGAAAACTGATCATTTAAAGGCATGGGGCATATTTAAAGACTGTTTTAAAAAGGACTGTTTCATTCCCTCTGTTCTCTGTGTAAATTCAGAGACTGCTGTATATATTGTTGCCCTGTATGAACTTTTGAACTGAAGCAAAGATACTTGCCACACAAGCCTGAGTGACACTTTATTATACTGCAGGGTTTATTTTGATTCAGAAACTGTGGTAAACCTTCTGCTTATCTACATTTACCAACTCCAACAAATAGCACCCCACCCCATCCAACATATCTAGACCAGAAGGCCTGATGATAAGTTCAGCTTAGAGTCACTGGACATGACTAACAAAAGTTAAAACCAATTTCAAATAAAGAAACAAAAAAATGGAAAAACCAAAGGACAGAAGTGAACACTTATGAAGGGCACTGCACAGGGCTGCCACTGATGTCATACCCTAGAGTTCTTGTTAAATTATCCCAGTCATCTCACTGCTTCTCTGTTGAATGCAAGCTATTCCTGTCCACACTGCTTGTGAAGGCTGCATTACAACTATGCAAAGTTCACTAGGTATTGCAAAAACAGTCAATACAGTTACTCTATTTTGGTCAGCTGTACCCTTCAGGATTCCACTTCACTGACTTTAACAGGCATCTAATGGATTTCTGGGGCAGCTGGGGATTTCCAAAGCAAGCTAAATTATAGTTGACAGAGGAGGAAGCTTAATTGCTTCTGCTAGAGGCATTTTAAATTAGTGCATTGTTATGGGAGTCATGAGGAAGCTATTGGGCTAGCTGTATAAGCATTTGAGGCACAAAATTGCCCAAATCAAAGCCATTCTTTTGACAGTAGAATCCAACGTAGTTTGTGCTCACAGCAGGTAGCTTCTGAAGTCAACCATGTTTTGCAGAATTAAGCTTTGGATGCTTCAAATAATATTGCCCACCTTTCTGCAGGAGGACCATTAAACCTCAACTTTTCTGATGTCACAGTGAGATGACTTGACGAAATGAGGTGGAGACTTCTTTCTCCCATCTATTCAGTTGAAAATACTGATAGTGGAAGACAGCCCAAAACACTGGAGTTTTTTTTTAATGAGCAATGCATTTTAAAATGTTATTTCCTCTTTAGGCCACCCCATCATTAATATAGTTGTTTCATTTATAGTAGAGGTTGAGTATTCCTTATCAGAAAGGCTTGGAATCAGAAAGTCTGGTATTTTAGATTTTTTCCAAACTTCAGTATACCTGTCTTTGCACATACATACATACATACATACATACATACATAACGAGATATCTTGAAGATTGGACCGCATTGAATCGCCTGTTAAGGGCTGAAAAATGCGGTATAGAAATAAAGCAAATAAATAATAAATAATAAATAAATTGGAACCAAATCTAAACACAAAATATATTGCACTTTATACACATAACTTGAAGGTAATTTTATATAGTATTTTTAATAATTTTGTAAATGAAACAAAGATTGTCTGCACTTAACTATTAGAAAATACAGGTATCACTATCTTAGCCAACCATATGGGTGATTTCAGATTTTAGAGTATTTTAGATTTCAGAATTCCAGGTAAGAGATACTCAACCCATATTAGACAAAAATGTGCAGCTTTTAGAGCCAGCTTCAGATTCCTCCATTTCCTGCAACATGTGAAAGAAATGGTGGGCTAAGTTAGGACATGTACATATCAAACCAAGAAACAGGCTGAAAATCTTGATTCAATCCATGCAAACCTTCAGTTTAAATCAGTGAGGGGAAAAATAAAATTCTGAATCTGTTATTCAGTCTATCAATGCTATTTCACACATATATTTGAGAGTTCAAACAGGGTTTGATATTGCTTAGGTTGTAAAGGTAAAGGTTTTCCCCTGACATTAATTCCAGTTGTATCCGACTCTTGGGGTTGGTACTCATTTCCATTTCTAAGCTGAAGAACCGGCATTGTCTGTAGACACCCCCCAGGGTAATGTAGCCAAAATGACTGCATGGAGAACTGTTACTTCCCACCGGAGCGGTACCTATTGATCTACTCACATTTGCATGTTTTCGAACTGCTAGGTTGGCAGAAGCTAGGGATAACAGTGGGAGCTCACCCTGCTCCCTGGATTTGAACCGGCGACCTTTGCTTATTTGTGGTATTTTATTCACATTCCATAGGATTGAGCTACATGACCCTTGCTGTTTGTATGATAATTACACTCATTACGGAAAGAATACTTTATCAATGTCCAAAACAGCAATAGTCCACTTCTCTTCATTCTACAATTGATGTTTGGTAAAAATCAGAGGTGTTGTCCCTGAATGAATTTGCAAATACTGCTTGAATTTAATTTAGGCATACTTTCAAGCAATATGGTTATTATAACTTATACTTAATACATTTTATGTTAATACTTTAGACTTAAAACTGATAAAATTAGATGTACATGCTTAAATTGATCCCAAAATTCTGTTTCTTCCCAAAGGAAAAAATAGGTAAAGAATATATTTTTCAATAGTTCGCAGGTTTCTAGAAGCTGTAGATCTCTAAATAGCACACTGCTCAGTTCTGACAGAGATCATGGTCCACTGAAGTGGCATGCATGAAAAAAACAGCCCAAAAGATGAATATCTGGTTGTATAAAACTACATTAAATTCCATCAAAACAAACAATTCAAAGAACAGCCACTATTTAGGCCTAAGTCATGAAGGCAAGCACACCCATCTCCAAGCATCAGGCAAGTGCATCACACCATACTGGTTTTTTTACCCATGAAATATGCAGGGAATCTGACCTATCCAGAAAGGAGAAATGGAAACAATTCATATTTAAAAAAATAAACAACACAACAGTTTATCTCCAAGAATCCCCAAAGTATATGTGTGCATCGGTTGTGTGTGTTCCTCTTTTTAAATTCTAGTAGATACAATGCTGTAATTTCAGTGATATTATTGCTGAGAATCAAACCATCTAAATATCTGTCATGCTTTGAGAACATATTTACCTCATATTTTGCATAAAATTCATACAACTGTGGCTATGCATTCATGTTTACTGCCTACACTCCCGGCACCAACATTATCTGGGGAAGGCTTTATTATTGACAGATGTTTAGCAGCAAGTTGTAAAAAGACAGTAAGAGTGCTGTGTTTTGAATATGAAAAAGTGGCATATTGGTGTCAGTCTAAAGCAAGGTACAGTCCAGGCATCATGGATTTCTTCCCTGGGCTGGGATCCAAAGCATGTTCTGCTAATGGCTTTCCCATTCTAAAAGAGAACTAAGTGCACTGAAGCTTGCTCTGAACTACACTCCAAGCAGGGAACACACCAAAAGTATTCCTGAATAGACACTGCTCAGTCATCCCCAGATGACATTCTTTCCTCAGAAGAACATCACCTTATTGAACAAATATTCTTTCTCTCCAGCCCAAGTTACTAAATCCACCTAAACACTTATTAGCTCCAACCCTTAACAACTATGGCATTATACTGGCTTCGGCATGCTTCTTGTACCAGCAGTGTTTAACGTGTTGTTCTTTTGGCTCAGTCAACAGCACAGTTTTCTTCCCAGCCCATAAACCTGGTGGCCATTCAACTTCAATACACCTCAGAGAACCAACAGTATATACAACTAATAGAAGAACAGCAAAGCCAGCAGTATAACAGTGAGTTACCTCAGTTAGTCCCACCACCCAACTACAGGCTGTTCACAAGGCAGCGGCGGCAGCAGATTGGATTGGGCTCACAAGCATACGTGGCTGCTTCAGGATCCAACGACAATTGGGGGCAGGGAGAAGACTACAGGGGCTATAGAGAGAGAAAGAGAAAGGGGAAAAGGAGAAGAAAGGGCATGCTTGAGCTCACTTTCCATGTCATAATAAGTTGTGGCCCATGTGATAGCCACTTCACAATTGAGTGCTCTGCTCAATGGAAATAGCTCAAAATGGACTTAAATGGAGCAGTGTGGGATTGGAAGGGGGGAGAAAGGAGATAAGGGAAAACACTGGAAATGGGATATGATAGCATGGGGTGTCAACAGAATGGTCAAAAAGCAGAAGTGTCTGAGAATGAGAAAAAATCTCTGATGCTCCTGAACAGCCCAAGAAACCAAAATGTATAGATAAAGCCCTTTAGGAAACATGCATAGGAATAGAGGGGAAAGGAATGCCTGCGCTTAGCCCTGTCTCTAGTCTAGCTACTCAACGAGGACTAGAAACATGATGACACAAAGACTTGTGCAGTCCAGGGATAAAACTCAACTGTTCCACCAAAATCTATTTCCAGGAAGCATTCTATCTGCCATGCTATCTTAGAGTCAGGTCTCAGAGACCCAACTTCATAAAAGCCTAAGGTACCTCAAGATAGCAAGCCTAATTTATATGAAGACTGTCTTGGATTTAAGATGATGAAATTAAAAGAAGCAGCTGTGCCCATCAGCAGGAAGTCAGACAAAAGCAGATATTCACAAAGACACTAAGAGGTTTTTAAGCACTTTCCTATGCCATTATATACACATTGCCAAGATGCAGGTATGACTACGTTTGTAGCAAAAAAACTACTATGCCAGGCACAAAGAGAACCAACATTCTACATAAAATTTCCCCTTCTAGCCTTCACCTATTCTAGCAAAAGAAAGTCATGATCTGGTTTGTTCAACCCATGATAACTAGTCCCATTTAGAGGGAGCAGATGGGACTGCTGTTATGCCGTCTGGGAGGGGCTGCCTTGGAGAGGTATCCAGAAACTCAAATAATTGTTGCATTCAACATGAAACCCCAATGCTGCAACTGTGCCGACCTATTCCAATTCACTTCTAGAACAAATTGCAATTGTTCATTTTGACTTTCCAAGCATCAAGCCAGTCCTTCCTATCACAGTGCCTTCCAGAGGTCTGGAGGATAAATCCTTTCAGCCCCCATCAATGGTGGTGATGGGAGTTGTAGTCCAAGACATCTGGGAAGCAGAAAACTAGGAAAGTTTCCCAAAACAAACAACTCAGAAAAATTTTGGTACCATTGTGAGGTATTTAAGAACAGTGGCATGCTCCATCCAAAATATGATAGAAAAATGGTATATGAGAGTGGTTTATTTGCAGTGGCACCAAATTGAAGTTTGGCCCCAAAAAGATTGTCAGTGGATCATTGAAGATAAAACATCACAACTTTTTATAGAAATGTTCCTTGGTCTTTTCTTATTAGCTTTCAGGATGATAGGTCAATTCAGCTTATTTTCCAGTCCAACTTTCCATGAATCTTTTCTGGTTTCTGCTGTTATTTAACAGATTCATATGTATTTTATACTGCTTCTAGGGTATCTTATTGTTACAGAAGGTTGTGTTGAAACTATCATACATATATAAATTTGCGTCAAGCAAATTGATTCAACTTAACTATTATGAATGAAAACTTATAAGAAGGGTAGTAATATTGCTTTTAATTTTCTATTCAGAATCTCACAAGCTCAAGAGGTGGCACAGCCCCTATTCCCAATCCTGTAGCTTCTAACTGAATATATCATTGAAAGTGACATTTTAAAAAGTCTGAATACTTCACATATTTAACTGATGGCAATTGAAGACTCAGTCCTTAATTTACAGGTCTCTAATTTGAGGAGAACAACAAACGGAAATTTCACAGTAAGTCAAGTAATTTTACCTCGTTACCCACAGAGTTCTTGAAAAAGATTACTCCTTACTTGCTAAGAAAAGATTTCCAACTTGAACAGAAAGTTATGAAGGGCCCGTTCTAATATGCTACATGTTCCTGGCCTTATTCCCAAAGTGGCAGCTACAAAAGCTCAGACTCTTAACTTCAAAGAGAAAATATCCTATTTTCTGGCTTAACAATGGTGTGGTATGGATGATGTGTTTCCCAAAGACAACAGTCTGAATCCAAAAGAAAGTTGTCTGAGAGCCAAAGGTAGAAACCTTTCACTTATAAGAATGCAACCCTGCAAACCAACCTCCCTGGAACCTCATGCATGAGCTAAACTTACGCTTTGTCATAGAATGTCGTGTGTCCCGGATGACAGAACTTCATGCCATTGCTGTTGATCATGCTGCTATTTATGTTCCCTGAAACATAAGACTTCCGTGATGCCTGGTCCTTTGCAAACTTTCTACAAGCAGCTAATCTGGATTCCAAGGCCTAAGAAGGATTGAAAAACAGAGTTCTTTATTAAGGTCAAGAAGTCTATATGGAAACAAGACAAAGCAGAATCAATATTAGCAGAGTCAAAACAATAAAAAGATTGAAGAATAACTCAGGGTTAAAATATTTGCCCTTGGTTATCACCCCCCACTTCAATTACATTTAGTAAATGTCACTAAGTTAAAAGATACAGCTTTCAATTGAAATAGGTTTTCTAAATGCAAAGGCAGATCTAGGTTCTGTAACGCAGAAATGCCCAAAATCTATACTTTTTCAAATGCTGGTCTTCCAGATACTTTAGACTTAAATGCCCCAATGCCCAAGCCAGCTTTGCCAATGATCAGGAAGACTGGGTGTTGATCCAAAATTATCTGGAGGGCCAAAGTTTGAAAGCCAATACCATAAACAGCCAACAACTCAAATAGTCTTTCAAAACCTTTTCAATAATCCTAAAAATGGCAACTTGCACCTTTTAAAAAGCCAAACTCCTTACCCCTACTCTTCTCAGGAGATCACCCACAATGTTCAAAGCAGATATCCTGGCAGATGGAGGAAGGGGGCCAGTACCACCAAAGCCATTGGGAATTCCTGCACAAAATACAAAAACAACATGACTGGAGCTAGCAGAAATACAGTTTCAAACCTACCATCTGATCCATCTTTTATGAGAACAGCTCTCCGAGAGCCTCTTATGAATACAAAATTTCTGAAGCTCAGCTCTTATCAACACTCCTCAAAATCTTTCTTCCACATTCTCACAATCTCTATACTGATACTATGTAAAACAGCATTTTACAACAAAAAATGGATTAAAGATTTAAAAGAACAATTTTGTGTCCTTATATGGCTCAAAAATTCTTATCTAATTTCTAATGTAAGGGTAGCTTATTATTTTTAGAACACTGAAGGTATAATTATGTAAAACATATAAACAACAGTGAACATATGTTGTGTAAACAATCAAAACTGGTTCTAGATGCCTATCCAATATATTGTTTTCAACTTAATTTTCACAAGATGCACATGTATATTACCTTTTGGAGATGGAAAGCTATTCTCGCAGACTTTCCCAACAGGTGTTGATGGCAAAGAGAGTGATGCTTGGACAGCTGAATCCATCGTCTCACAGTCCAGGGTTGGAGAACTAGGAGCTGACTTCCTTGTTACTTCATGCTGTCTTTCCCGTACAGCTAGTTCTTGCCTTAAATCTGAGTAAAGGAGAAAGTATTGCAGATGTGCATGCCTTGGCCCTGAAAAAACAACCACCCTTCTCCCCCATTTATCCTTCTGTTCTCAGCATTTTTCAACCTCAGATCAAGCATCCAAGTTGAAATATAAGATAAACAGAACACTGGCTAAAATTACATGGTTCACTCTCTCTGCTTAAACACATATTTTATCCTAAAGCTGTTAGTCATTAGCAAGAAATACCCATTATGTGTCCATACAAAGTACACACTATAATCAGCAGGTCTTAAACACAGCCAGTGTACTCATCATATGACATCACCTGCCCCCACCCAGGATTTCCTCTATAGAGGAACATAGATACAGTAGGGTAACAGCTTTGATACCAAGAAAACCTGTATGAAAAGTTGAATGGTTAGACACAAATAACAACACATTCATATTCTACTTTTACATCTTTTTGTGGCAAAATGTGCTCTTTTGAAAAATATCAAAAATCTCAAGTTTATGCAACACTCCACATGTGTGCTTATGTGGATATACACACTTCTCCAATTACATGTAAAGACAGTGCACACCAAAGTTTTTTAGTGTCTTGTCAGCTATGTGTGCATGTACTATGGGTTAGCTCTTGGCTCATGGCAACCTCGTGAATATCACAGGGTTTTCTTAGGCAATAAATACTCAGTGGTAGTATTGACAGTTCCTTTCTCTGAAATATAGCCTACAGCATCTGGCATTTGTTAGCATCTCCTATTTCCCTCATAAAACAGAAATATGTAACTGGGAACAGATGCATAAGACAGCACTTGGTTTGACTCAAAGTGAGAGTCTGAAAAGTGAAGAAAGAAGTCTATTCTCAATGTTCTTCCAGGAAGTTCTTTCTTCCTGTAATTTCTCAATGTATATTGGTGTCCATGAATATGTATATTGGTGTCCATGAGTATCTATGAATACTGAGCACAGATTCACAAACAATTTGGCAAGTAAACTGCTTTAAGAATTGCACTTCGTGGGCATTATGAGAATACTGCCTTATGCAGACATTTTATTTCCATGCTGCAGCTCATTCTGAGGAATAGTTGATAAACCAGGGACTTCTCAAGGAGATTACAGAGATAACTAAGTTTACAAAAAAACTGAAAATTTATTCCAAATCAATTTCTACTTCTGTTCTCTTTCACAATGTGCAGAGTATATTGCATGGGCAAAGTATGGATCTGAGCACAATACTGATTATACCCAGATGAAGTCCAGATTTTACTCTGGTTCATGATATGTTCCAATAAGAAACTTACCTAAAGTTAGGGTAAAAATAAATCAAGTACCTCTTATTTTACCATGAAAAAAATACTAAAATAGTAACACATGGTTGTATTTATGCTTGTTTACAGATGTGCTTCAGTGCCGGCCCTAAAAAATATTTATTCCTTCACTAGGAAGTGCATCAGCAACCCCTGACAGTCAAATTGTATTTTCACGAAGAACACAATCAGCAGTTCTTGGTTAAGCAGTACCTCTTGCTTCATCCTTTAGTCTTTGTACAGAAACTAGCAGAGATTCCTTATCATCCAGTTCACTTTCCAAAAAGGCATTTCTTTCTATTGCCTGATTTAGCCTTTGTTCAAAGTCTTCCAAGGAAACAATTGTGGCCCTGGGGGGAGGGGAATCAACAGGATACAGCTCCTCAATACTTATGTAATAACAGAGACAGATGTATATAATAGCAATTATTGTTGTTATTATTTACAAAACAATAAAATATAACACACATCAATTAAAAGCACACACTGTTGGTTAAAGGGGAGATAATGCCAATATGTATTTAAAAGCATATATCCATATTTTGAATTTTATAATTTTAAAATGATATGAATAGACAATATATCCAGCTGTCAATCTCTTCTAGAAGATCATTCAACAATCTGAGGGCAACTGAAGAATGAGTCCTCTGGTGAACAGTTACCAACCTGTTCCTGGACCCAAACCATGTAGGGCTTTAAAAGTACCTTACCTGGAAATTAACTGGCAATCAATTCGGTACCTCTAATGCTAGTGCAATATGATCACTCCTAGTAATCAATCTGGCTGCTATGTTTTGAACTAACAGAAGTTTCCAATCTTGGTACAGAGCTAGCCCAACATACAGTTCATTACAGAATGTGTTACTAGGAGCTACTAGCTTTAGCTCCTCCATCTCTAGGAAGAAATAAGTATGTCTGAAGATCCCAGAAGCCAACATTCTAGGCTGGCCCCATTAATAAAAAGTGGAGTAACAGATCTGCACGCCGGTAAAAGGTATACCATGAATGCATGTCGATCAAATTCAGCTATTTGTTATTAACCATACTAAAAAGGTACTTCCAAATGAAAAGCTTACCACTTCCTATGTTAACATATCGCATAGACAGAGAAATGGGTGCCGTATATTATTTTTGCATTAAAAAGGTCCCAAAAATGTTTCCATCCCTCCCTATCACTTTGTTTAGGAGTTGAAACATGTGGAAGTGCAATGTTAGCCAATATGACCTGATCCTGTGAGCTCCAAGATAGCAGACACTGTTGACTAATTTCCCAAAAGAACATCCTGAAATCTAGTCATCACAATATTACTGACAAACAATATGATACACACTGGAGATTTGTTTAAAGGGCATTTCCCAAAACAATTTATTATATAATGGTTAGCCTGATGTTTGGGGCCAAGTCAATGAAGAAAGTATGATATATGACATAGTCGACATGAATAGAAATTCAAAATTCAGATTTTCTGCTGTGGGACTATCAAGTGAAAGACATTTCAGAAATATGAGAAGAACTGTGGCTGTTCTGGTTATTTATTTATTTATTTACTACATTTATATTCAGCCCTTCTCACCCTGAAGGGGACTCAAGGCGGCTCACAACAGAGGCACAATTGGATGCCTTGAATACATATAAAAATAAAACAACATAAACTATAAAATCACATATTTAAAATATATCACTTAAAATAATTACTTATAATCACATGGTCCAAATGTGATTAATATCCCTGCTATCCTATCAAGCTGTCATTTATAACCTGCCTGGTTCTTTAGAAACTAACGGAACAAAAACTGGAATGACAGGCCAGTATTGAAAAGAGTGTCTGCTTTAAGCAGTGAAATTATTACCTTCAGTAATCCTTACCTCTTAGCACGTTCAAGATCATCATTGGCTTGCTCTAATTCTCTAACATATTTGTTCAGCTGGTCTTTGATTGCACGGGTCTGGCTTAAGTCATCTTCCAACAACGACACTTGCTTGTAATTTTGTGCATACTGGTGCTCAAGCTTTTCCTGAGAACAAAAGAAACAGTGAAAGGTTCTATCACTTTGCCATTAAATCAAGATATTCAAGAGATTCCCAGTGTCCTAGTTAATCACTCAAACCACTACACCAGTGTGGTGTAGTGGTTTGAGTGATGAACAAGGACACTGGGAGATCAGGATTTGATTCCCTATTTGGCCACAGAAACCCACTGAGTGACCTTAGGCAAGTCACATACTCCCAGGTCAGAGGAAGGCAAGTGCAAGCAAATCCTGCCAAGAAAACTTGGCCTTATGTTTACCATAAGTCAGAAATTACTTGAAGACACAACAGCAACCTCTGCATAACTTTAACCACATATTCACCTTTAAGATTGTTTTTCTTTTAGCATGAGCTTTTATGGATATAAAACTACTTCTTCAGATACATTGCCAAGTGATATTGAGACCTCAGGTATAAAGTGTATTTATATAATCGAAGAAGTGTGACGGAATGTAAAAAGATCATTAGAGGTGCAAATTATGTCCCATCTCAAGGAACTGGCTTCAGAGATACAGGTCTTGCAGTTCTTCAGAGTGGTCAATTGATGCTGATGTGTGAAAGCAATAAATCTGCTTACCAAAATGATTTTGGAAAGGATTTATTGCTTTCACACATCAAAACTACCTGGTGATTAAAGATCTGAAAGGCCTGTATCACTCTGCCTAGCCTTTTGGAAATGTAAACATGGTCTGCATGTTTTGGGGGAACTTACTACTTTCTATACCACACCATAGACTTGATACCCTAGGTCTTAATAACATTTGGTACTGCACCTGAAGTAGATTTATCCACATGAAAATTCATGTTAAAATAAAAACTAGTTAGTCTTAAAGGTACAGTACTGCCATGTTTCTTTTATTCTCCTCTTCCCGTTCTCATTTTATTTTATATAAAGAATAGTTCCTTTAGCCAAACAGTATTAAAAGCAATGCTAAAATCATTAAGCAAAGTTATTTTCCAAACTGGAGTTATTTTCCGAACTTAGCTTACCTTCAATGTTTCCACTTCCTGTTTCAATCTTTGGTTATCTGCTTGCAAATCCCGGTTCCTCTGTTCAGCTTGTACTAACTGAGTCTCCAATTCTGCTTCAAGTTCTCTGCTGCCCTCCTGAAATTCTGCTAGCTCTTCACGGGCCTCTTGAAAACTGTAAGTTGGAAAGAGCAGTAATGAGTGGGGCATTATTCCAGCTATGTCCCCATCTCTCTTGTGTATTACCAAGATCATTACCTCCACCCAATTCAGTGAACTCTCATTAAGACTGAAAAGACTGCTACATTAAGGTGATATCCTAGATCTTACTAAAAGCTTTTTGTGAATGTATGCTAACCATTTTTTTTCATATTACATGTGTGTCTTGCATGAACCAAAACATAAGATCAATGACAAAACACACACACACTACTGCATTTTCCAATACTATAATTTAGCAATGACAAAGCTTTTAAATCAGCTGCTTCAATAAAAGATTTATTTATTTATTTGCGGTATTTATATACTACCCTTCTCAACCCCAAAGGGGACTCAGGGTGGTTCAAATAAGTCTTACACAAGATATAAAGACTGCTGGGTGGAAAGAGTCATCAGCCTTTGTTAGACATTATAAAGTAAATAAAGGTTGCTCACCTGTAACCGTATTTCTTCGAGTGTCCATCCGTGAAATTCACACCTATGGGTTCT